AATCAGCCGGGCGTAGTAGCGTGCGCCTGGTAGTTCCAGCTACTTGGAAGGCTGAGGCGGAAGGATCGCCAGAGCCCAGCAGGTCGAGGCTGCGGTGGCCAGGAGCAGCCACTGAACTCCAGTCTGGGTGACAGAATGAGACTCCAACTCAAAAAAATAAAAATAAAAAATAAAGTGCTGGGATTACAGGCATGAGCCACCGTGCCTGACTCTGGTAGTATTATCAACAGCCTTTATAATGTGTATACCTTTGACTTAGCTGTTCCTTTTCTTGGAGTTTATTTCATGGAAGTAGCCAGAGATGTGTGCAAAGATTTATATTACAGGAAGCACTACTTAATTTTTTTTTTTTGAGTCAGAGTCTCACTCTGTTGCCCAGGCTTAGGTGCAGTGGCACACTCATGGTCACCCCAGCGTTGACTCACTGGGTTCCAGCAATCCTTCCTCCTCAGCCTTCCAAGTAGCTGGAACTACAGGCACGCACCACCATGCCTGGCTAAGGAAACACTACTTATAACAGCATAAAATTGTCTGTGTTTAAATATGTATTTGAAAATTGAAAAAAATAAATATAAAATGTTGAAAGGGCTGAGTATGGTGGCTCAAGCCTATAATTCCAGCTCTTTGGGAGGCCAAGGCAAGAGGATTGCCTAAGTTCAGGGGTTCGAGACCAGCCCAGGCAACTTGGCTGGACCTCTTCTTTACAATAAATCAAAAAATTAGCCAGGCGTGGTAGTGCATACCTATAGTTCTGGTTACTTAGAAGGTTGAGGCGGAAGGATCACCGGAGCCCAACAGGCTGATGCTGGAGTGGCTGTAGGTGTGCCACTCACTCTAGCCTGGGTGACAGAGCGAGACTCCGAATCAAAAGAAATTTAAAAAAATTTTTTAATGTTGAAAGGCCTCCTATCATTATGTTAATAGTGATTATTAGCCGAGCTCTGTGGCTCAGCTGTAATCCCACGCCTTTGGGAGGCCGAGGTGAGTGGATTGCCTGAGGCCGCGGGTTCGAGACCCGCCTGGGCAGGCGAGACCTCATCTCTACAATAAATCAAAAAATCAGC